GGAATTAGGCAACTTTTTATGTGCCCGAGGGGTCCCCAGTGATGCTATTTCATTAATGGAAGAGCAGAAGGTTATCAAAACAAGAGAACTAATCTCTTAAACAGACATGGATACAGCTTGATACTAACATGTCTGTTAGCTGCCAGAATTCAGTCAGAATTATGAGATTAAAGTCAGAATTCTGAGAAAAAAGTCAGAATTCTGATTTTAGTCTCAGAATTCTGACTTTTTTGTCATATTAAACTGAAATAAAATTTAAGAATCAATTAACTTCTTTTTATTTTTTTTCAGTGACAGCAGAGGCGTTCCCAGAAAATTTTAATAGGGGCGGCCTGTCAAAAACCAATGTACACCGAAAGGGCCACCCCTCAGTCAATCTACATTGTCTCAACAGGAATGAGCAAAACATCCATATTTTCCAAATAAAGACAATCTAAACTTCCCTACAGCATTTGCTAACAAATAGACGCATATATTTAAACATCCACGCTGTCTTAATAAAAAGTATAGTAGACCTTTCTGCACATACACAGCAAATGGGCTGATCCAATGTGGTGGAACATAATGTGCACAAATGGGTAATACCTGTATTAACAATACACGTAAAATTAGGTTTATGGGGCCCCCAGGAACTTGGGGCCCTAGGCAACTGCCTAGTTTTGCCTAATGGTAAATCCGCCCCTGGCTGAAACAGACCAAGGAGATTTATAATTACAGTTGGAAGGAAAAAGATACCTAGCTTAATTTTCTTTATGATCAGCCCTGCAGAGTTAATTCCTTTTAAATGTGCATAACCGCTTTTCTGAATGAATTCATTGGTCTCTTTGCCTGAGATTCTTTGACTGGGACCAGGGCTGCTGGAAGTCATTTTGAACAGGAGGCAGGCCTATTTAGAATAAAATAAAAATAAATAATTAAATAGATTGAGATTCACTCATTTATTGTCATATACACTTTAGTGCATGCAACCAGGCTCTGTAACACACAGACATAATCAGTTCTCAGGTGAATATATGCGCTATTAATTACACAGCATAATGACACTATAACAATGTGGTCAGCTGGGATGAACCTGTGTTACTGTGTTTATGTCACATCTGACTCTATTAGCTCCCAAATCCTTTTACACAAACCACAAAGAAATAATTATATTATTTTACTATTTAAACATTATTGAACAGTTCTTCACATCCATTACACAAAGTATGCAAGATCAAAATAACACCCTAAAATACTATGGTTACGTTAAACTGCACGAATAGATATGAAAGGATGCGGTGGCATCATGTTCTTACTTACTGACAATGTAACTTCCACAGAGTTATGTCGATTGGGACTCAAAATTATTAAATTACATTCCAAATAAATACACATAATA